CCTGCTGGACACCGTTCGAGTCACCCCACCATTTTCGGCCCCTCCAACAGTGTTTTGCTGAGCCCTATCCTCTGTGAAGCCTCTCGCCTGCCGATCATTCTAAGTCACTCTCTGAGTAGCCCTGACAACTGCCCCACTACTGGCTACCGAATGCCCAGTCTTTCTAGGGTTCGGTTCTAATTCTGGTCCCTTAGCCATGCCCCTTCCCAGCCCCTGTGGAGCCCTGTCCTTGAATCCCCAAACGGTTCAAAGGGAGACTTCCCTCTAGCCACCCGCCTCGCATTCTTCAGACCCTGATGTCTCTCTATTTCCTTGTCTCTGGTCCAGCTGGAGAACCGGGAGACCGACTAGGCTGCAAGGCCGGGAGGCGGGGCACCAAGGTGACTCGTTAGTTCTTTCATTCACTCCCTATAACCTGTCTCAGGCTCCTCCCTGGGGCAGGGAGGGGCGGGAAGTGACCAGGATGTGCGTAATGGGGCGCGGTGGGGATGGGGGGTGAAGTCCCCGGCGCCCACGATGAAGGGCCCGGCTGACCGCCGCCACCGCGGTGCCTAATTAGAGACCCTGGCCGGGCACCGGAGTTCTGGCTGTGTGCCGGGAACCCCCTCCTCCCAGCCCCGAGGCATAGCGAAGCCTGAGAGCGCGGAGAGAGTCCTAGCTCAGGGAATGAGCTCAGGGAAAGAATCACTGGAGAGAGAAAAGTGAGAGCAGGGGAAGGAAGGCTTGAAAATCTATTTCTCGGGACTTAGGGGGCATCGCAGCTGGGCCTGTAAAGATGGGGAGCGAACAGGGAAGAGGGCCTCGGAACCTGGCCGGTAACTTTAACCCCCTCCGGCTCTGAAAACGGATGAGAACAGGGACGTGGGGCGGGGACATAAGATCGAGCTCTCTGATGGGGTGAGGGAGCACCAGCTGGGGCTGCGATGGGGCTTGGGACCATTCTTGCAGCATTCATCCGGGGGAAAGAGACCCTCAGAACATCACCAGTGGGGAGGGGGCCAAGAGGTGGCTTTAACCCATCCCCCAAATAAACATCCAAGATAAATCACACAAAGCGTCAGTACAAGTACTGTAGCGCACACTCCTTGCGGTCAGGTCGCCACTTCCAAGTTCCCAGTCCTCCACTACAGAGCCCTCAAGGCCTAGAATGTCCTGTGAGAGACCATGTGGAACCCTGGGGGCTCTGGGGCCCGTGTTTTCTGAGGCCCAGCTCCCGCCCAGGCAGGAGTGCAAGGAAGCTTTCGCGCACGGCGTTCCTGGGCTGCGCGCCCCTCACCTCTAGGCAGGGGGCGCCTTGGCCCGGGAGAGACAACAGGCCCAGGGGCGGACCCCGCTGGGCGCGCTCCTCCTACGCCGGTGTCAGGTTTACGGAACCGAGAGCTCCCCTGCCGGATGCGCGGTGGCCAGACGGCCACAAGGATTCCATTCGCCTGACCCGGCCCGGCTTGACCCTGCCTGGGCGCGCCATGTTCGCGCGTGGGTCCCGGAGGCGCCGCTCAGGGCGCGCGGTGAGCGAGACTCAGGGCAGCGGTGGGGGTCAGGGTAAACTGAGGCCCGGGAGAGGGAGCAGGGGATAGGGATAGCGAGGAGGCGCTCCCAGAGGATCTGGGAATCCCCATCCTCAGGGTTCCCAAACCGGAGGGCCTGGGACTGCTGGAAGTATGTGGATGAAGGAACGTGGTGGCCCTTGCTCCCTAATCACCTTTCCGCACACCTTTATCAGCACCCCGGGGACCTGGTGCACTCCCCTCTCCGGTGAATTATGGGAGGGGATTCTGAGAGCCAAAAGATTGGGTCCTGGAGTCCTAGATTGAGCAGGGGCCTCCTGAGCTTATGAGAAAAGGGACCTCTTCCTGTACCTTGGCGGAAGGTGAACTGAGGAGTGAGGCCCTACATTCCTGGGGTGCCCTAATACTGAGAGTCGAGTGGTTGGGATTTGTGAGGAGAGGGCTTCCAGGCTTCCACTTGAGCCAGGAAGCTTTTGACTTCCTAGATGGGAGGGTCTCTCTCTTCCCTTGGAGGGGCTGTCTGGGTGGGGTCTGCGTTTGGTGGTCCAGAAGAGTGAATAGCCCTAGGATATGAGGGGTAAGGGCCAAGGCTTCTTGGGATGTGGGTTTCTGAATGGCTCAAGGGCCTCCTGAGATCCTGGAGGAGGGTCTCAGTTCCTTGGGTATGAAAAGGTGAAGCCAGGGTTTGGGGGATGGGCTCTTGAGCTTCTGAAAAGAGGAGCAGGGCTCACGTGGGGATCCCAAGTAAGGACGGGGTCTCAGATTCCTACCCTGTGGAACTGGAGTGCTGCTGGCTTCCTGAGTGGAGAAGGGGCCGAGATGAGGCCTGAGAGGAGACACCCAGATTAGGGGCTCTGCTTTGGTGGGGAGAGTACTCTGAGTTCAGGGGGAGGTGTTTTGAGGCCTAGAGGAGTCAGAGGCTGGTGGGGAGGTGTCGAGGTTGGGTGAGGGGAGTCCAGTGCTGGCCCGGGGAGGGGAATTCCCTGAAAGGGGCGGCATACAGGGAGGTGGCCTCAGCTCCCCCGCCTCTACCTCGGTTGTGTACCCCTCCCCCGCGCTCTGGACTCTGTCCCAGCCTGCCCGGCGTTGCCCTGGTGGGACATGCCCCGGCGTGTGGTTGCCGGCCTCGGAGTGGAGAGGCGGGCGTTGACTTCTCTCTCCCTCCCCGCCCGCGCGCACCTCGCCGGGTCCCGCGTCTGCCCCCTCCCACTACAGCCTCAAGAAGCAGAGGACCCAGACCGAGGCCAGCCCTGCAACTCCTGCAGGGAGCAGTGCCCCGGCTTCCTGCTGCATGGCTGGAGGTAGGTGACCATCCCAGGACCTTGTCTTCGTCAGGGTCCTGCCCTTATGGGAACCTGCCCTTAGGGGAACCCCCCCAACTTAGGCCACGCCCCTAGGCTTGAGCCAGGTCTTAGAGAAAGCTCAGGTCCAGAGCCCCGCCCCTGACTCATTCCCAATTGTCCAGTTCCCAGGAGAGCTCCGCCTACTACACAGCCCCGCCCCCAGAAATGTGCTCCAAGTTTCTGAGTCCCATCTCTAGGGAGATCCTCCGTCCCGGGCTCTAAGAACCGCCCACTGACCTCCAGCCCCCTTCTGGGGCTCAGAACTCCCCTCCCAGACCCAGGTCCTATCCTAGTGGAGCCCTGTACCCAAAACGTCCCATAAAATACCACAGACAGAGCCCTACTCACTCAGGCTCAGAGCCTCAGCACAAGCTAGAGCCCACCCCTAGGGAAAGTTCCCCCACCACGTCCAAAGTCATGAGGGGAAACCCCTAGATTTATAACTCCAATCTCAGACTCAGAGCCCCACCCCTACTCAGGCCCGTTGCCGGGAGAGTGTGACCCAAGTCCCAGTGCTGAAAGTCAGGGGATGGCCTTGAGACCTGCCACAGCCCCACCACCCCTTCACATCCTCGGCCCAGGCCCCGCAGCCCCACTCCCAGCTCACAGCCCTGCCCCCAGCTGGCCGCTCTGCCCCTCACAGCCCCGGCCAACTCCCGACAGTAGTCTGGCTCACAGACCCACCTCCGCTCAGCACCGCCCCCAGGCCCCTGTCTGGCTAGGAGTCTTTTGCTGGTGATAATCTGAACGTCTCTGGCCCTCAGTTGGACTTCCTTGGGCTGCCAAGAGGTCCAAGTGGGCCATCCCTTAGGAGCTGACCCCCCATCCCGGTCCCCTCAGAAAGATCTGCCAGCACTGCAAATGCCCACGGGAGGAGCACGCCGTGCACGCAGTGCCTGTGGACCTGGAACGCATCATGTGTCGGCTAATCTCAGACTTCCAGCGCCACTCCATC